AGAGCAATTTGTGGAAAATCCCGGGAGAACATCCGACGTGCCTCGTACGTTTATTATTCTCGACCTCTACTGCTTCGCCGTTGTATTTTTTCCTACCAAGCCGGGTTTTATTAAATTGCCAGGTGTAACGCGTTACCTAAATATATATCCAAATTGAAACGAGCGGGATGCCAGGGTTCAAGGCACACCGGCTTGCCCATTTTCAGGATCGTATTCTCGACGGGATTTCATCTCGTTCCCTCTGTATACGCGCCGATTTACCGACGAAATTGGACCGGCAACGATTCGCAGCTCTTTCTCTGCCAGCGCTGAGAATCGTGAAATTGTTAAATCTCCCGAAATCCCGTTGAAAAATTTTTCACGATCGGGGCGATCGGCAAAGAAGATAAAGGCCATTCTCACGAGCCAGCCAGGGGAGGAGATTTTGATCGAGCTTGGAAAACGTCGACGCGACGAATAATAATTTTCATTTCACTTCGAATTCCTTGACAATCGTTACAGCTCTTCGACTATACTGAAAAAAAAAAAAAATATTTCGCGATAGACAGATCGAAATAAAATGGAACAAGAGTGTATCTCATCACGTCTCTCGCTATTTCGAAATATTCGTCGAAATATTCTCTCGCGACGTTGTTAAATGCCGTTATCGCGAACGTAAACTAGTAGCTCGGATCGTGGAGGCTGCAAAATTCGATGACGACGAATAACATGGTTCGTCGAGTGGCGTTTAAGATCGGGCGAAGAACCTATCCTATCCGGCGTGTTGTAACGATTGATCGCTAGTCTCTCTCTCTCTCTCTCTCTCTCTCTCTCTCTCTCTCTCGATCTTGATCTCGGAGATGAGACGATAAATTTTTCATTAAAACGGCGAAAACGCGCGGCCAAATAGCGTCCGCGTGTACCATCTCTCGAGTTATTAGCCTCGCAGCGATAAATGAGTGCCCTTTAGACGGCGCTATCCTATTTTAATGGAATCTCGCAGCATTGATGAAGATTCTCTTCCAGCCCCGGGAGGGGGGGGGAGAGAGAGGACGTCGAGAGAGGAGAGATCTGCCTCGGTGAAGGATCACGTAACTATTAGTTAAATGCATTTAGTGTCTATTAGTGGCGCGTTTCCACGTCGTGCTATAGATGACTAACAATCTTTGTCGGTGTTCACGCAAAAAGCGAGTGATAGCCCGCCGACGAAAGGCGTGAAGCGTCTCGTAAAAGCATGGAAAATTGCGTTATGAATGCACAGAGGGTTTTAATGGACATTTTGATGTTCAATTACCGTCGACCATTTCGCTTTATAAATTAGTTTCTCACGAAGCGCGCGGCGCCGGTCTTGCGATCCTCCTCTCTATTCGCGGATGAATAGACACCTTCGCAGGCTTCCATTTGGCCTTCGGACAGTCGGACTCGATTCAATTATTCGAGAAGACACGGAATGCTCTTGAACGAATGCACATCTTTTTTTTCTTTTGATCGCGAAATTGAAATTATCGCACCGCGTTTCGGAGATAACCGCGCGCGTTCGAAGTCCCAGCCGCCTCGCTTAATCCCGCTGCATTATTTGAATCATTTCCCAGCCGATCGAGTTATCGAGTTGTTAAGCAAATGTCTGAGGTTTAAACGAAACACCGAGAGAGCTCCTCGTTGCCGATATACGTGTGAATTGTACTGTTTCAATTTTGCTCGGATGTTTGTTAAGTATTTTCGCTTACGGCCAGGCAAGAGCGAGATGTAGAAATTCGAGGATTTTGAATTCGAGGGGTTGAATAACACGGCTCACGCGTATATTTTTCTCTTTTTTTTTCTCTCTTTTTTTTTTTCATTGAAAAATTTTAGGTACACTGCAGTATTTATTTACTGTCAGTTTATTCAGGTCGCAAGCGCAGTAACAGTGTTTTTTTAGTAGAAAGAAAATAAAATAATATAGGGCTCCTCTCTCGGCTGGTATTAATGTGTTTCTTTTGTATAGTAATTTATTGACATTGGCAGACTAATGATGAGTTCCAGGTTATAGATTTTCATCGAATTAGGCGAATGCATTTATTATTTACATAGGCACGGATTGTATTTTGGAAGATTTTTACTCTGAAAACTTATGCAGTTAATTTACAATAAATGTAACATACATCTATATGTATATTGCAAGTAGTATATTAAATAATGATATAAATAATTTACAAATAATATTTAAATATATTACACATAAATAATGATATAACAGTATATAGCAAAACTACTTTTTGTCCACATAGAAAATATAAAGCGAAAACGATAGAAGATATAAAATTAAATTTTCAAGCAATTTCCAAAAAAATTATGTGCAAATTTTCGAGTACATGGTTAGTCAATGTGGATAGTCTTAAAATTTCGCATTACTCAACGACGGAGATGTTTAAATTCCTAAAAGAACTTTTTTGCCATTCTGCAAACGTCGTTTTCCCGTTTTCTCGTGAAGGTTTCGAAGACAATCGAAATAGAAGAAAGAAAGCAGTATCAGAGTGAAGTTCCTTCCCACGTGGCAGCTTCGATACGACGAGAGATCGGAAAATTGTGTGTAGAGCAGAATTTTAGTAAGTGAAAAATTGATCGGAGGTTTGGCAGTCTCGGAACTCTTCCCGCGGGACTATCCACCCTTTCTTTGCCTTTTTCGTTTGCTATTCCACTTCTTCTCTCCCCCCCCT